CCTTTATCCTTCTTCTTGGTTGTAATTGTATCATTTAGCAACTTTATATCCTCGTAAAAGTTTCAGAATTTACCTCTTTCTTGGGTCTGTATTTTCAAGAACTGGTAAATGCTTTAAGTGTTTGGAATAGTGTTCAGAAAAGCTGGCTCTTGCCCTTTTGTTGTAACTCTTTTTTTTTTCTTGAGAAATTTTGGTATAACCTTTCTGGGTTTTACAAAGAGAGAACTTTCTTTCTATTGGTAAAGATTTGGCTATAACATTATATTTTCTTTTTGCCCGGGTATAATAAGGGGCCCTAATGACTTAGACTAGCAAAACTGCAGAGCTGAATATAGAGGAATTACAGTCTAAGCCACATTCCCCCATCAATAAACTTTGTATCGAGAAATGGCTTCACTTCATTGTAGGTTAAGTTTTTTGACCACGGAACCCTATATCTTCTGTCTGCTCCACCTCCGGTGCATCCATACTCCCCAAACACTGTGGTCCTGCAGAGAATAAGTCGGATATATTATGCTATGTTAAAAACTTTTTGTTAGCTCATCCAATATTAGAATATCGGAAAAGAAATATGTAAGTCCACATGATGTTTGTTTAGCAGAATGGAACTCCTTCATTAAAGTTTTATAATCTCATCATGTGAAATACAAAAAAGATACTAAGAAATCAATTGTAGAGAGGCGATTAATATATACTTTTGCCTCGAAGGATTGTTCCAATCACTCCATCCTTGAGGGTTTATAATGTCATCAATGTAACAGTTGGCATATACTACTCTTGAATAGTTTCCCCAAGCTCTTCCTAAGTAGATTTTGCCTGTTCCGCTGATTTCACTGTCAACAAAAGAAAATCCTGTGTTCTCATCGGCTGAATCTCTGTGATGAGCTGCAATTGCTCCTGATCTTTTCGCCGTGGAATGAAGAATACAACCCTGTTTTTACAAAAGCGCGTCAATGTTAGAGTGATCTTGCTCGGGGAACATCTCTCCATCCCAAAACATGGGGTTTTTACTGTCTGAAGTTTCATTAAGAAAGCATTATATTTGGAATTAAATTACCTGATAGAGTGATCTTGCTCGGCCAAAAATGAAATCAATAGATCCTTGAATATAAGACTGATAGAAGTAGTGTGAACCAGACTCATCCAGGAGAGTGTCTTGAGTTCCTACGACTCTGATTTTGTAGAGCAGTGCTTTATCACCTGAAAGTCTAAGTGCTACTGCTTGCATCCCCAATCCTTTGTTGTCTGCAACTATTGTATTCTGTAACAAACCATCCTCAAACATCAATTTAAACTACTAAAAAATGCTTCGACCCATTGAAACAAAAATGATTATTACCTCAAAGGTAATCCCGGTTGCAGCAAAGTAATCAGATTCTATAGTTACAGATGCTGACTTATAGGTTCCTAGTTGAGCTCCATTGCTGTCTTTATCAGAAGCTTTGTTGTTCCAGCTTATTATCGTTTCGAAGACTTTGTTTTCATTTCCTATGAATGAAATATATGGCTTCAAATTTGGAACGATCACCTTTTCTCTGTATAAATTTATTGAAATTAATCAATAGGGAAAAGAGGAGCAAGAAACTGCAAGAAGGGATCAAAAAATAAGCACTTTATTTTTGCATCCGTAACTTATAACTATGTAACTAACTGTCTTTGTTCATGTCCGTGTTGCAACAATTAGATTTTCCCACTAACCCAGAAATATAGGATAACTGCTAAAAGTGCATGACTTAAATCCAATGAGCCAAAAAAGAATAAAGCAATAAGCTTCAAGATTTCACAGCACAAAGATCACGACTTTACTGACAAACAGAAAAAAAAAAAAAAACAAGGAAAATAGAAATTAAAAAGTCTTGTATGAAGACAGACAGACCTGTAAATTCCTGGAAGAATGAAGATTTTAACTCTCTGTTTATTATTATTTGGCACCATATTTACTGCTCCTTGAACTGTAACAGAATCTCCTCCACCATTTTTGTCAACCACAATAACTCTGCTTTCATTGAAAGAGTCTCCTGAACTCAACCTCGCCATCTGCTCATTCACCTTCAAATCATCCCAGCTTATAAAATCCTTTGGCTGATTAACCTCACCTTGACATAGACTCTTCTGAAAACCACCCGGAAAAGCCAAAGTTGCCAAAACCAGAAAAGCACTTACAAAAAAGTTACCCATTATAGTTCATCAAAAATCTGCTCCTGGGTATCTGGATTTTGAGTCTTAAAACTTTGATGACCCAAAAAAAAAAAAAGGCAAATTGCGTTTAAGGTCTAAACACTAGAATAACTCCATGCACACTTCTATAGATTAATTAACGAGTTGGAGAATGCAGAAGTTCTTTTTCTTTTGGCTTTTTCTTTGAAGATGAAAGGGTGTGTACATAATAAATATAGGAGCGTGGTTCCTTGTGTAGTTCTTATGAAACTCAACGTTCGATTTAGTAGCCAAAAAAAAAAAAGGAAAAAACACTAAAAAAACTAAATCATAAGAGGGAACGCAAAGATGATTATCAGTTTAAAAAGGCTCAAGAGTGGAGAAGCTAGGCTATGTATTCTCCAACTCAAAGCAAATGTGATTTAAGTGAATAGTTTACATGGTAAATGCATGAAAAAAGAAAATCAAAATAAAATATATATATATATATATATTTAGATAGACAGCTTTTCATTTTCAGGGAGGTTTAGAATTTTGGAGAAGATGAGTAGTTAAGAAGAAAACTGCAGCGGTTTTCTTCTTATTTATTATTATTTTTTAAAAAAATTTAGCTGAAACTGCAAGTACCCTTTTGTGACAGTTCAAATAAATTTGAAATCCATATAAGAGAAGATTGAAAGAACTGATTTTGGCAACTGGGTATAGTCTGGTGAGTGTGTTTGGCTGCTGAGAAAAAAAGCTGGAGATGAGGTTAGTATGAACATATAGATATTATGTAAATTATATACGAAGAGTTGAGATTAGTAGTAAAGAAATGATCTTTTAAGTTTCTTGTTTAATTAAACTGTGGCATTAAGTGTATTTAATTAGAATCATGGGAATCTTTTGATCTTCTTTGCAGTGGCATTATATTGATAATAAATTAAGCCAATATTCCATGGTATGCTGTGTTATGGCAGTTGAACTATAAATAATATTACTAATTAAAAGAAAAAACAAGATCAAGTTAGTACACTAGGTAGATGATTATAATCCTATTTGATCATTTAAGTTTGATTTCTAACTAGTATAAAGTTGGATTTGAAATATATATATATATGTATATATATTTAAAATTGTTTGAAAAAATCTTAATAATAAGAAGTAAAGAGTAAATTATTAAATTAGATATTAAAATTTAGTATTTATTACAGTTTGATTTAAAATATTTTTTTGGTTATAATTTTAACTAATTAAATTAACATATTAATAAATTAATAACATTATTAGACATTTTTGTAGTATTATTGATTTATTAATTTAATTAATTAATAAAATTGAATTTTTTTTAAAATATTCAAATATAATTTAATTTTTTTAAGAAATTAAATAAAATTAAATGTTTGAAATAAATAAATAAAAATGATTATTAAATTAATTGAATAAATTACCCAAAAATAAAATACTAAATTATAATTTGGAGACCAACAAGAAAGAATTATCCTACTTTTATAGAAAAGAAGGAGAATAACAATTTTACTCTACTAATATTTTTTTTGGTCAATTTTGTTCAACTAATTGATCTTTACTCTTTCTTGTATTTGTGTAACATTCTATATATATATATATATATATATATACACACATTACATATACTTGCATGATCCTCCATATCTATGCCTTATATTTCATGCATTGGTAAAAATTAGGGAGGGGCTAAAATATAAGTGTAAAAGAAATGATGGATTGCCTTTTTTTAGTTTCTCAATCTCACTCATTGAAGTAAAATTTTCAAGAATTGTAGAGCATACTAAATGTTATATTACATTCTTTAGAGTTATTTTTTCAATATATTAATTCTTAATTATTTGAAATTTCGAGTTTTATTATAATATTTTCCAAGTTAAAAACCCAAGAATTTCTCTTATTTTTTTTTATAAAAAATACATATTATGTACATATATTGACTATGACATAATATATATTATTGATGTGTCTTAAATTATGATAATTTTAATTATAAAAATATTTTTATAATTATCTTAAAAATTAAGTTTGTGTATATTATAATAACGTCAGAAGTCTTCCTGTACATAAGTTTGTTAATTTATGGATAACGTATTCTCTTTTTTATCATAGTAAAATATTTTTTTGATGGTCTTACCTGTGGATGTAAACATCCTGTCGAATCACATAAAATCTTGTGTTGTTTTTTTTTTTTTTATATTTTACTTTGTTTGTGATTGTGTATGATTTAGGGAACGATTTTTTGAACGTATATCTTGATTTTATTTTAAGTTAAAGCTTCGTATATAATTTCATATTGACTTATTTTTAAAATAAATTATTGTTTTGATCCTATTTAAATGATAAAAAATAGGCCCATTAAATAAAAGATGGGCCTCGCTTAGATCCATAAATAAACATTTCTTTTTTTTTTTCCAGTGTTGGAAAATTCAGAACGTAATTTTTTAAAAATAAATAAAAATAAAAATGCAGTTTGGATAATGGAGGAGTAGGCGAAAGAGAGGGTATCACTCTGCGTAGCAGAAGACAAGAGGGGGGAGAAGGAGGTTCAATTCGATTCGAGTTAATCAATGGCGGTTTCTTCAGTACTTCATTGCTGTTTCCTTCTCTTACTATTCACTTCTTCCTCATTCTCTTCTAAGCAAAAGCTTTCTTCTTTCTCTTCGTTGCCCTATGCCGAGAGTGGCTTCAAGCTCAGTCCCTTAAAGCTCACAGTCTTCAAGTAGGGTTTTTGCCGCTCCTGAAGCTTTGGAAGCTCAAGAAACCCTTGATGGACAGGCTCTGGTGATCTTGAGGTACGTGTTTTGTTTCTTTCCCCACTGGAATTCCGTTTGGTTGCCGAGAAAATGTGGAAAATTAAGACGGGTGATTTTTTTTTTTTTTTTGTTGGGTTTAATGAAAGATTATAAAATTACCGTTTCAGATATGTGGATTTGAGTTGTCTTAGAGTAGTATAACCATGTTATGCTTGGGTGCTAAGAAAACGTGGGAAGATAATAAAACAATCTTGGGTTAGGAGTATTGGTGTTTTATGTACTCAGGGTATACCAGAAAGCTTGAAGGATTCAACTTAGCTTAGTTGCATAATGGTGTTATGATATTAGTGGAGCATTCTTTTCAGTACATATTGTTTGTTCAATGTTATTTTTGGGTGCTGTAGGTGGAAAATTCTGAGGTCCCCCTCCCTTCATCTATCAGTTCGGATGCAGATAAGGTATTCTCCCTGCTGATGTTGAGGTCACAAAGACATTTTACATTATGTTTATAAATTATTTAAATGAATTTTGAAGAGAAGACAGTGGAAGTAAATCCCCATTTTTATGTTCCAAAATGAATTTTGGATAATTTCTTGTTTGCTATACAATTGTCGAGCCTGACTATGTTGAATAGTTGGTTTAATATGGAGATCAGTAGCTTTTTGACTGGTTTGATGGTTTGTTTTACATTATTTCTCTAATATAATAAATGGATTATGCTGTGTGTGGTGGATGATCAATAGAACTACCATTGGCAGGCACCTAGGAGCGAGTATTTACCTGGTAATCGAATTTGAAGACTTGCTATTATGAATAATTAGTAAGTTAGCACTATGATTTGCTGCTCCCTAAAAGCTTTAGATAACTAACTTGAAAATTCCGTTTATCTTGCATTGTGAAATCCTTTTAATTCAATTGTTCAATTTGAATTCCAAATACCAAACTTTTATGTAGGGACATCTGTAAAAGTAGCATTTTATTTGGGTTTGGAAAAAGAAATCTAATGCTAATAATTTGAGGTTTTGTTTTCTCTTTTTGTCTAGGCGGTGGCAATGTTTCTTTAATTGCCTTGCCGAGCAATGGGATTTTGAATTTTCTATGAGAAAACCACTTGGTTGAAATTGGCCATGACGTTGCTAATTGATAATAGTGCAACATTGAGGTTGAACCTAGCTGCTCCAGTAATACCTTTCCCTTGTAAAAAAGTTTATTTTAACCCCTCTAACTTTTTAACTTTTTCTATCCAGACTCATGGGTCCATCTTACTTTACCAATGTTTTAGGCTTTTGTGACGGAATGTTTCTTCAATAAATCATTTCTTTTCCTCAGATGGCGCCGAAGCAAAAGATTAGAATCAAGCTCAGGTCTTATTGGGTGCCTCTGATTGAGGACTCTTGCAAGCAGATAATGGATGCTGCAAGAAACACCAACGCAAAGACTATGGGTCCTGTGCCCTTGCCAACCAAGAAACGAATCTATTGTGTTCTCAAATCCCCACATGTACACAAGGATGCGAGGTTTCATTTTGAGATTAGGACCCATCAGCGACTGATAGATATTTTATACCCAACTGCTCAAACAATTGATTCTTTGATGCAACTCGATCTTCCTGCTGGCGTTGACGTGGAGGTCAAGCTCTGAACAAACAATGTCATAGCTTAGGTAAATCTTTTGTATTTCTGAAGTTGTTGACACAGCCTTCAGTTTGGACTTTGCTACAGTTTGTAAATCTCCTGTTTAATAGTTTTCTTTTGGATTTCTGGCGAATGATATTAGAGAAAAAGAGGAGATACCTGCAAATCTTGCTGTATTTGCAACTTCTATTTTGTGTACTATGAGTTCAGTACCATCACAAACGAACTTTTTGCAACTTATTTAACCTCCAGAAGAATTTAGGTTCGCTGTCTTAATGGTTGTAACACATTTTCTGCCTTAATACTTGAACATGAGCTCTTAACGTTTTACATGATAGGATCTATTTTCACCAAGAAAGAACAACTATTTATGACTTAACAACATTATTAGTTGGTATTTTATCTCCAAAGTATTACGTGAAGAAAACATGTGAAATCCATATTTACTGTCCTTTCAACTTTTCAAGTTATTTGCTTTTGCTTCTCTTTTTAGAAAGATAATGTTGCTTCTCAATTTTTTAACATGGAGTGCCTGAAGCCTAGCCAGTGATCTCTTTTTGATTTAGTCATGAGATTTGGATGCCTTGTAATTTTTTTAATACGTGGATGACTTGGTTGTTGTTGTGATTGGATAAATCAATTCAATTCAATTCAGTTCAAATAATCCTTAACTCCTCTCTGTATTATGTTATGTACTCCATTAGGTGCAAGTCTGTTCTATTACCGTTCCATTCTTGAATCTTTTATTAGTTAGATAAGTACAATTTTTAGTTACAGTTTATATATCTAACCAATGTAATTGAATCGATTAGACTCATATGGATTTGGATCTCCAAGCTTGGAATTGTAATACTATTTTTATCAAGACTTATATTTTGTTTGAATCATATTCTCATTCTTATTCAATTGGATTGGATTTGGAACTACATGCAGCCTTACTTCAATTACACTGGGTAAACCTTATCTCCTTTTACTGGAATTGCTCATCAATGTTGATATATATAGATGTAAGGAAAGGAAGAGACTGCTTCTGGTTGATGCATTGGGAGGAATGAGTCTGTTTCTCCTTATTACAGCTTTATGGCTGTGACTGCTTTTTGGTTTTTGTTCTAGCCCATGTCACTTATTGTGTTTATACTTGTTTCTCAGTCATTTTCTGCCCTTCTGTTCTTCAGCTTCTGACTGATTACTGCAATGTTAGGTGCTGGATCTCTACAGTGAAATTATATCTGGTCAGAACAGATAGTCACTCTAGGTCTTCAACAGAATTGCTAGACTATATGTAAATCTTGTTCAAATATCTCATTATTCATTTTTCTGGGAAAGAAGCTTGTAAGAAACATTGCTTGTAGCGAAAATACACGTATTGATTTTCTTCTTGGCCGGACTGATTTGATCTTCGAGATCAAGGAACTTGTATGTTTGTGGAATTTTCTTTCAATGAGTAGCGATAGCGTGATAGGATTGCGATTTTTGATGTACCTCCTTGAACACTGCAATAATTTGAGAAGATGATTACACAAAATGACTTTGTTTAAGTTAATAATTAGTTATTTTAGATTAAGTTAATGAATATTTGAAACATGAACCAAAATTAATATGGCATTTCCACATTTTTTAAGCTTTGGGTGATCAATACAGTTTCTAGACTTGGTAGAAATTTTCTGTCGGATGTGTAAGTTTCTTTTTGTTATTGTGAAATTGAATACATAATTCAATATGTTAAAAGTTATTTTATATATCAAGTTTATGATAATATATATATATAGCACATTTTCATCTTAATATAATGTAAATAGTTATTAAAAAAAAAGTAATACCACAAATTCACAACAATATATATATACACACACCATTATATAGGATTATTTCTATCATATATATAAATTATGAATTTAAAATTCAATGGAAAAATATTAGTTTAATTGGTTAGTAACTTACTTGGAGTTTTGGTTTAAATATTTTGTTAGTAAATTAGTGATAATCAAAGAAGAGAGTTTTACTTAAAACTAAAAAGCAGTTGATAGAAAATTAATTCCTTCAAAATTAAAATAATAATAATAATAATAAATTTATATATATTATTCAATTTATATTTTAAAATATATATTTTAAGTAATCTAAAAAGTAAGAAAATAAAAAAAAAAAATGTTTAAAAAAGGATTAGACTACAATACTATTTTATTATTTACTTATTATAATAATAACCATTTTGGTCGTGACAGTACAAAGCCATGGCGCTGCACGAGGTGGTTACCCCCATTTTCGTCCCTTTCTTGTTAACATATTTACTGTTCTACCTCCGAGGATTATGGTGATTGACATGGAAGCGATAAATCCAAGGTTACTTTCTTCTCATCTCCATTCACAAGAACTCGGCCTCAAAGCATCCAGGAGAAGGTGTGGAACAAGATGACGACGATGGGGAAGACGATGGAATCTTGGTGCCCAAACAAATTCAAGCTCAATCTCAACAACATACCTCCTCTTGATCCATCTTCAATCAAAAGTTCCCCCATCCTGGTAAATTGAGTAACCCATGGTTCCATTTTTTTTTTTCTGGTTGTCTGATTTTACTTTTTTTTTTTTTTTTTGGTCGGGTATTCGTGGAAGTTCATAATCTTTTCATGGATGTTTTCAGTTCAGACAGGAGAAGCCCAGAAATAGAAAGTTCTCTGATGTTGTGACGGCCGGCAGGCAAGAAGCTCTGGGTAGTGGGGCAAATTTAGAAGACATAGTTAAGTTTGGAAGACAAAGTGTTCGTGTTTTTTCCGCAGAGAAAGTACACCCGGAGCCCGGTGAAGATGGGACTGAATTCAGAATTCAAGGTAAAAAAATTTTAGCTCCTGATCAATTTTAGTGCCCTTTGAAAGGGCGTTTTTTGCTTGAATTTCAGCGTGTTCTTGTAATGTTTGATGCATGTATTATGTAGTGTTTATCAGTGTACGGACAAGGTATATATCAATCATCATTATTTTATCTTGTTTAATCTCCATTGCTATAAAAGTAATATATCTTAATTGCAAACTTTAGTTTTCTTGTACAAGCTTTTCGTTGCTAAATATAGAATTCAATGGACGATTTGGAAAATATGCATGAATTGTTAAGTGCTTCGTAGATTAATAGAATAAGAACGGGATAGACACTATTAATGGATGATAAATATAAGATAAGCACTGGATTATCCAAATATAGGATAATGGTATAAATATAGGATGAATACTTTGTTACATAATCTGTATATACTCTATCTTGTAATTATGTACTCTGTTTTTCAAACTCTTAAGATTTTATTAACGCGCTGGCCCATGTGGCCTGGAACAGTGAATATTCACTATTGTAGAGTGTTGTTATATCTTATATAATGATACATATAAACCATTACAGTTCACTAACTTGTATATAGATTTGGTGGAATTTGGCTTATTTTAGCCAAAATGTTTTGCGTGTGCTTGTTGCCCACTTGTATGGCGTAAGGAGAATTTCTTGTCTTATAGTCTAGTGCTTTATCTGTTTTTGGTTTCTGCAGCTTTTTCTAGTTCAATAATATTGCTTCTGCTAGTGAGTTTTAGTTTAGGAGTCCATTAGACAAGAAGGTTCTGAAGCTCAATCATTTACTTTTCTAGTTAGAGGTTTAAGCATTTTCTTCTGAAGCTCAATCATTTAGCTCAATCATTTACTCAATCATTTACATATATATAAAATATATTTTTTTTAATGGAAAGTCGTAGTTTTACACCTTGGTCTGGTCTAATCGTTGTTTAACCCGTGTTTTTTTTTTTTTGTGACAGTTAATTAGCATAGGCTTTAGCTTTTGTGATTTTAATTAAAATTATTAGTTTTTTTTTATGTATTTATCTTGTAATTTTTTGAAGTTTTTCCTCCAATTTCGATTTGTTTGGCCTTGAAGTTTGATGAATTGTTTTTCAAGTCTAAGCAAGTATAGATATACTCTCAAAAACTAACAGTTTAACTTTAATATAAAATGAAAAAAAAAAAAATCAAACTATAAGATATTGAACTGGAACAAAACAAAATCATAGGGTTTAACTGAAATTAGGCCGAGTCCCAAAGTTCGTACTCTACATAGCCCTATTTCTAATTAGAGACATATATCTTGAAGCTAAGGAAGGTTTTGCTCAATGACTTATAAATTTAGATAAAGCATTTAATATATTTTCCAACTAAAGAACTTGTTTTTGGAGCAGAAACTATGCAGTTTCTGTCACATAGGCTTTTTGGTGAAAGAAGTTCTTAGAGATTATAACAATCTGGACTTGAGTAGGTCTTACCAATGATTGTAACCAGCCAAGAATCTTTTATAAGATCATTCTGGTGGTATGATTAGGCTTTTTGCTTAGAACTTTAATTCTCTACTCTTGTTTGTGTATTCAATTGAACCTTTCAATTCAACATTAGAGTGGTGTTTGTGTTGTCCATTAAGTTTAAGTCTAACTAATACTAACTCTTCAGATACTTTGTCGGCGAAACTTCTGTTGCATGAAGTCTGTGTTGCAAAGAGATGGAATTCCCCGGTGTATCAGTGCTGCAAAGAGGAAGGGCCTATTCACTTGACTCTGTAAGTGGAGTTTTTATGTCAACACACCTTTAGAATATAAGCAATAAAGTTTTATTTATCCATATAAGTTTGATTTAATTTGTGAAGATTCAACTTCCCATGATAACTTAAAAAGATGCTAAATAAAAGTCTAAAATTTCATAATAATCAATCTCTTAGTTAATCAATCATTTAACTATGCCTAATAACTTATTTCATAAAGAAATATATCACAACTTAAACTAGAAAGTAAGTAAATTCTGAAAAAGCAAAGATTTAAGACTCTGTTTAATAGCTAAAATGACAAAATGCAGTATCGTCCGTGTGATTTTTGCCCTGTTTCAATCTAATTTCTGCACCCTTTTCATGACAATTCAAGTATCTTGCTGAGTTTTTTTTGTCATAAAATTGGTAGTTTTGCATGAAACATCTCAAAGTATCTAAGCTTCAGATATAAACATGCGGAAGTTGGAATCTAAAGGGAATCAAATTTAAACCATATGATACTAAATTATCACCCCAAAAAGAAAGTTATATGAATAATATCAAAACAACAAAGAATTGAGCTCCTAATATACCCAGAAAAAATGGTTATGTCCATATACATATTTATATATGTATGAATGTTGAATAATTGCAGGTTCATATTCAAGGTTGTGATTGAAATTAGAGAATCATCAACAATTTTGGAGTGCTATGGTGCTCCACACTCCAGAAAGAAAGCAGCAGCAGAGCATGCAGCAGCAGGAGCATTATGGTACTTGCAGAATCTTGGCCATTTTCCATTAAAAAAGCAAAAAAAGAGAAACAGCAAGTAACAAGGCAGTATTTATATATATATACATGTATATATTTATTATTCTTATTGTAAAAGAAAAGTACTCTACATATACCATTCATGTGAAAATATGCCTTTCCCCGGTAATTCTTCATATTTGGCATTAACCTTTTTCATAAACGGTTTGATGTGGTGCAAAAAGTCAAAAAGTTAGAATGAATCACCATTCAAATTAGATTCTTTGTGTTTGTATCCAAGCCTCTATATTATATGCTTCATATCCAACATAGAATAAATAATAATATTTTATGTTGGAATATTCCAACAATAAAAGAAATATATTCTCTGCCTCCATTATTGTCTAGTTTACTTATTTTTTTAAATCTTTAGAATCTTAATCTATTATATATATATATATATATATATATTTAATTGATCAACTTAGTATGGGGAAAAAGATTTACATCTAATCAAAATTTTCAATCGAAGATGATTTGAGTTTTTATAATTTTTAGTAATTTTATTTTTATTGATAAGAATAAGTAGTGAATTTACAATATTAGTCATTATGAAAATATAATAATTTAAACCCATTATAGTAATTTTAAAGGGTGTGTGGTTCTTCAAAATTGATTTCAATAAGGTATATTTTTAATTTTTAAAAAACCCTAGTGGGATATTTGGGTCTTGATGAGAAGAGGTAAGTAACTCTTTTTGTTGCGACAATTGTCATCGTATTCGTTCTCCATGAGTTGTTTAGATAATATGAAAGTTTTCTCGCTAACTTAGTGAATCAAATTTAGTTGTGACTTATAAGATAAAATTCAAATGCAAAGAGAAGAAGAAAACAATAACAAAAAATAAGGAGAACGAAAACATAGAGGGAGTAGAAAAAAGGCATACTTACGCCTCAAATACATTTTGCCGTTTCTTTTAATCCTAAAAATTATTAATACACACATATATGCATATGAACACACAACTCTAGTTTCAAATGACGATCGACGTCTTTTTTTTTTGACAAATCTCTCTCTTAGAGTTGTTTGAATTCGTATTTTGACTAATTTAGTTAAAATATTTATTTTATATTTACTTGAATAATAATATTTATTGTATACAATAAAATTTATAACACATATATATCTTGTTAATTTTTCACAAAATAAATAAATGCTTATTTTTTAAATGAAATATTTATTACATAAGTACATTTCTTTAAGCAAATTTTATACTTTCTATTAACTACTTATTACATTGTTACCACTAATAAATTGTTTTTTAACTTCCCTTTAAAGTTTAAATCATACAAAGGTTAGGTAATAATATTAACAACAACAACAACAATAATAATAATAATAATAATAATAGTCTTTTGGAAAATAATATGATGAGAATTATTGAACCTAAACAAAATTAAACTTAGAAATCTTCCTATGGTATCATGTAAATAATAAAATTTAATAATTATATTATTTAATAACTAAATTAAAAATATAACATACTATTTTAGATTATATATAATTCTAATTCTAATTCTAATTGTATTAATTTGTTTTTTCAACATAATGAAATAAAGTTGAAAATATTTATTTAAAGAAGAGTTGTCAATTCGACCTCTTTCTCAATTTGGTTAGTGTTTATATATTTTAGATTTTAGATTTCAAAGTTTGAAGAGTCACCCTCTCACACCTTTACGAAAATACCCTCATATGCAAAATTTATTTCCCTATATACACACACATTCGATGAAGGCCTCAAATTGAAATTTTGTACGTATATATATAAATATATAATATACATATACGCATATAGTGTGGACCAAAGTTGATGAATTGAATGGTTACCAAGTGATATTACAATGACACTCATGAATAGGACTAGTGGGATTTTGCGGGTGTGGCAAGTTCCAAAAAATAATATTAAAAAAATTACATCCCACATAAATTAAATTTTAAAATTAATAATAATTTATAGTTATAAATGTAATATCCGGACTCAAAAATCGGTCCGGGATAATTGCTCTTATTTATAATATATTATATAAATAATTATTTTAATTTATTTCAATTTGATTTTATTAAATTTTTGAAAAAAATAAATTAGGGACAAAATTGAAAATAATTTTAAATAAAAAGAGCAAAATTTTAAATTCGAGAGATATTTTTAAAAATATATGTTAAATCGTAAAAAAAAAAAGTTTGGCAATGTGAGACGCCTCGGTCAACAGCCCTGGCAAACCAGAGCACATCGCGTGGCAACTCCACTGATATCGGCACCATGCAGGAGGCCACGCGAGCGATCCGCATGTTCGACGATCTGACAGTCCAGATCTCATTTCGTGCGCGTGAACGATCCATATGCATTCCCTCTTTAAACGCAATCAAATGATCGGATTCAATTTGATCATGCGGTCCATATTCATTACCCGAAGAAGATAGATCTAACAGATGATAGAGGGCCATGTATTCCTAAACAAATGGCCAAGATCGATATAGGGTGGGTATTTAAGCATCGTGTTCTAGGGAACCCTAACCCTAGCCGCACCAGTTTTCGCCGGAGAAGAAGAACTAGACGCTGGAGAGGAGGCTGACCACCGGCCGCTGTCGCACCAAAGCCATCGCCGACCGTCAAAAAAATAAATTTTTTTTCCCACTCGAAATTCAATTATAAGTCTCATTGTGGTCATATCAGAGCAAAAGGGACGACGAGTGAGCCAAAAATTACAGACAAATCCCAGCGAAGTTACCGCAGCCAAAACTCAAAACCCTCTTTGATGACTCCCTTTTCGTTTTTCATTTCACACGATTCTTTGATCATCGTGTTCACCGTGTCTTTTGGGTGCATGCTGGGCGAATACCATTCCCCATCCAGGGGGTACACGGAGCCGGAAGGGCGATCGGTGCGGGTCGGTCGTAAGTTACGCCAGCTGATGAAATTACCTAATCGAAGATTCCTAACGTGTTTTTTCTTAGGGATACGTATAAAATTAGTTAAAACCAACCTAAACTAGAGCCACCGCCGATTGGTAAAAAAAGTTAAAAAAATTTCTTCCCACTCAGAATTCAATTAAGA